TTTGATTAATTACCAAGAAATCTTCTGCATAAAGTATTTCCTAATTTAAGGGCTTCACGATGTTGCTCCTTGTTAAACGTCAGCCATTCCAATGCACGGATTTGAATTATTTCGGTCTGTTTTATAGGTTCTTTCAAAGAAATTATTCTGACATCAAAAACAGCACCATGCTTATCCTATATAATATTGATTCGATTAATAAAATAATTTTTGAAAAAAATTAAATGAAACATTAATATTACATACCGCAGTTTCAATTTCTTGAAATATTAAATCAAAAGTTTTTCGTGCAATGGCGATCACATTTAGACCATACTGTTCTGCCAGAATGAAAAGTTTATGACGCTCTGCATAACTTGCCATTACATCTAATTTTACATGTAAAACATATTAAGTTTTTGTACATTACATAAGATAAATATAAGATAATTACCTTTTAAAAACAAGGCATAAATTTCAATAGATGTATCTCTAGGTAATTTTGAAGCATATAATGCAATAAGCTTATTCTGTTGGTTTAATATTAACCATTAATAATTTTTTTAAAATAATATCAGATTGTAAAATATATAAAATATACCTGTCGATATTCTATTAATAATTCAGTATATAATTTGATAATATGATCCGATTCCTTGTCAGGAGTTGGAAGCATCAAATCACGTAAATACAAAATCAAATGCGTTGCCAGGCGAAGGAAATGAAAATATGCAGTTTCACTAGATAAAATTTATTCAATTAATAATAAATCATATAATATAGCACAATATCTCAAATACTTATTTACTCTTCACGACTTAGCCGTTTATCGATTAATTCCTCCTTTAATTGTTTAACCAATTCCTTTGAATCATTCAAAATAATCAATTTTTGAATGATGTGAAACCTTTCAATATCAGGATCTCTAAAGTCATTAAACAAAGTAAATATTTACGGATGATCTTATGTCAATCCTAAAATACTTAAATTTTAAATGCTTGCCTGTCAATTCTTTTTGATTCCACCATTTCAAAAATTTTATTTGGTGTAGTAGATTTGATATTTATAGGTAAATCGTCGTCTTCATTAACTCCCATATGTCGAACATGCTTACTAAAGTACTTTAAATATATAAATAAGAATACGTATGTCATTGCTAATAAATTTAAAATAAGTGCTTAGAAATTTATTAGAATACACACCTCATCTTGCTGACACTCGATAAGACTATGATAATAAGCCCAAATATGATCTTCCCAGGTCCGACAAACAGGAATGATCTTAAAAATATAGAACATTGTATTACATAATTAATTCCTATTTTAAAATGCACTCAATATATTTACATTTTCATAATCTCCACTAAGAACACCATAAATTGCTCGATCATAAATATAAAGGTTTTCCTACAAACAAACATAAAATATCATGTATCATATAATTATTTTAAATAAATTTGTATAAAATATAAAATATAAACATTTACCTGATTAGCACAATGATAACACGTTGTACGCCATATATGCCGGTTAATATTACCAATTGTTGATATAACATCATCTTTAACGTAGATATTTTAATTAATATTATTAGTATTTAATAAAAACTAAAATTATAATATTCTGAATTATTCAAGGTTGTATTCATTATTCATCCGAAATTCGTAAACCTTCAAATCCATATTCATAATTATGGATTAATAAGAATTTTGTGTTTTACAATTTTATAACTTAATTCGCCATACTTCAAATTCTTATACTATTCTCTACCAAAGAGAAAATTCCATAAAAAACGAATATATGAATATTTCCAAGATTTTATTCTATAAGACATTACCATCAACTTTTTCATTGTATAATATGATCCCACTCATACTGGCAGTTCGCCAAAAATGACCATTTTTATCGCTAATATCCATTGCATCGTCAACCTGACCTCTCCGTAAATACTCAAATATAGACCTCGCAAGCTCTTTTTCGTGTTCCTAAATTAATCATAACATAAAAAATCCAGTAAAAAAGAGAAATTGATTGGATAATTCGAATTTACCTGATCAAGAGAATCTAAAGCTCGTTGGGTTCTGTGAACACCATCTGGATCAAGGTACTTGTATTCTTCTGAATCTCCTTTTTTAAGGTTCAATAGGATTGCATTTTTAGTGAAAGCACGATATTCAGGATTTGTTTCTACAGTAATGAATTCTGGTGCTATCTTCCACAACCATTGACGTACGATCTATAGAATGAATGTGGTTAGTTACCATTATATATCAGAAAATAATTTCAAAATTATTAATAACTCACCCAAGCCTCAGCAAAATCCTTATTGATCGCGAGAAGCTCACATAAAAGTTGCCCATCCGTTTGAAATGGTTTTCTTGCTTCATCAATATTTTTTATAGGTGTGAATCGATATCTGATTGATAAGAATATAACAATATTAGTTACAAACGCACCTTATTAGTGTTCAAACTTTACTTACTGTGATAATAATTTTAATAAATTCCACGTATTCCGTTCAGCCTCCCAGATCTGATATCCTCGGGGATCAGAATTGAACATTCCACTACTTTCTTCACGAAACGTTTTATAACTACGAAAAAATCAGCAACACTAAATTACGCGCTCAATTAAATATTAAGTTGAATGAATGTGATTAATTAATTAGAGCTTACTATTCGTCACACATTTGTTCATATGTCTTAGGGACAGCTGTTATATCTTCCTGAGACCGTGTATTTTCATACACTTCAGCATACTTTAGAATTATATCATTACCAAAGTATATCCCATCTATAATTGTTATTCGCGTTAAATTTAGTTATTCATAAATCATTGACAAATAAATAAAATTCCAGACCATTTAGATTTGTTTCCAAACTGGCAATGGATGAATTTACCTAAAAAAAAGTTAAATCAACCTTTTAATATAAAAAGTATTAACCGAAGTAAGAAAAATGTGCAGAAAACCAACAATACTGGGGACAAACAAATCGGAAGAATAAGATTGTGTAGTGGCATATAACGACGAAGGAGTATAATGTCTTGGCGTTTCTTGAGACCGTGAAACACGCGGCGTGCTAATAGGATCAACATCCATGGAATTGCTTTGATCCATTTTATGTAAAATGTTTTAAACAAGATCGCGTTTTAATTTATTATTTTTCGTACCACCAGATTGGTTGAATTTCTACAGGCGCCGGCGATAATCTCGTCCTTTTTAGGCCGGATACTACATTCTGTGTTACTCTAAAGCTGATTGACCAGAAATGAAATAAAATCACATGATTGGCACAGTATATTGATATAAACGTAATTTCGTATCCGAAAATTTGAATTAATAGGTAGTAAGAAAAATTACAATCCTAATTTTTAAATTTTTAAAATTTAACTATATAAAAAATAAGTTAAATTGCCATATTAAAATTTTGAATTCATTAATAAATAAGTAGAATCTAATAATTTAATTTAATACTTATTTTAAAATCAATATTTTTTAATTTGAAAATCTACCTTTAAGAAAATTTATTTAATTAATAATATTAATTATATTTATAAAGTAGTATATTAATTTGTTGTAAGTTTATTAATTAAATAAAAACAAGTTATACTTATCATATTTAATATATATCTAATTTAATTAATACTTTAAACTGAATTTTCATTTAAATCCTCTTTGCTAATGGATGGAATTGTTTTTTTTTATATATTACATAAATTTCTAATAAACTACTACTTCCAGTAAAATTAAACAAAAAAAAAAATTCTATTTAAAAAATTATTAAATTTCAAATATATTATATATAGTTTACAATTAAGTAAAATTTAATATATTCTTTATTTTAAAAAATTTATTGATTAAATTTTAATAAAATTTATATTATTAATAAAAGAAATCCAATGATAGTAAGATTGCATTTTTAGCATCAATACTAATTAAAAAAAAAATAAGAAATATTTAGTTTTTAAGTTGTATAGATAGATTTAATTATTATTAATATTAATATTTAATATACTCTTTTATACTCTTTTTAATATAAATACAGATTTACTATATATAAATTAGATTAAATCATCCAAAAATAAGTTGATTTAAGTAAAAAAATATATATTATTTAAATTAAAATTAATAATTTCAAATTTCAAATTTCAAATTTTTATAGTTTTAAATTTTAATTTTCAATTTCTAAATTTGTTTTATGATAAATTCAAATTTCAAATTCTAAATTTCCAAATAAAACTTTTAATTATAATAATAGGAATCTTTGTAATAATAATTAATAATATAATATTTACTAAATTTATTAGTAATAAAATAATTAAAATATATAGTTACATATAAATAATTATCTTAATATAATACTTTTATATTTAAAAATCCTTTTAAATTCATCAAATTTCTGATTATTTTGAATTTAAATAGCATATATAAATTAAATAGAATTCTGATATTTTTAAAATAAGTCATAAGTTATTCTTTTGACAAATTAATCTATTAAAAGTTAAAAATTAGGGTTATACAATTTTCTTAACATCTAGTGATCTAATTTCAATGAATTTTTTTTTATTTTTATGGCTCTTATTAAGTTCTATAATTTAAAAAAAAAAAGTTTATCAAAATTGAACTACTAAATACCAAAGATATTTGCAAAAAAATGATTTTTGAATTTTGGCAAAAAAGGGTGATTTTAACTAAAAGTCCATTATAACCTATATATTAGATGTTCAGAATCTTAAATCAAATCAAATTTAAACTTTAATTAAAAAATTTAATAAAATAAGTTAAACCAAATTAAATGATTCTATAGTTAAATTAATTTATATTAATTTTGAAAAATTAATATTAAATTATTTATTTATTTTCATTTAAATTGAAAAAAGAATATTCTCACTAAAGGTTAATTACTCTTACAATCACGTGTTAGAGCATAAATACCGAAAATCACGTGGCAGAACTTTTTTGAAGCTTTCGCAAACTGGCGATTTCATGATCGACATTGTGTCAAGTACAGCATTCCTAGCCCGATGTAAATTAATAATGATCTAGTTGTTAAATTTTACATTTATCATTTGTATCATGTACAAAACATTTATCATTTGTATCATGTACAAATATATTAAACCTTTTTTTTTAATTTCTGCATGAAATGAAAACATCTAATGAACCCCGGTAAAAAAGTTTTTGCGAGGTTACATCTGGCTGTTTTATATTAGAAAGATATGCAAAAGGTTAAACTGCAAATTCTTGCTTATGTCTTTCTTTTAGTAGAGTTCGATAAAAAAAAGCACAATATCTTTTTGGCTTCATCTTTAGGCTTCATCTAAATCATAAAGAATTATCTTCGATTGGTTACTTCAAAGATATTAGCCAACTCATTTTTGGGTGCACAACGATCAGATTTACTAAATCTAGCATTAGCTTTTCGTATATAAATCAGATCTATTAGATCTTCTAGATGTTGATTTTGAACATTAGTACGAAAAAGTGTTACGTTGATTTTTTCTTAATAACCCTAATAACATCACTAGAAAAGACACTGCCCAAAACAATAAATTAGTTTTTCAACAATGTCTTCTAAACACAGACATGACACTTACTGGTTCATTTCTGGTAATTTTTTTTACTTAGTCTAATTTTAGCCTTGATCGTAAATAATCAAAAAAAAAAAAAAAAATAATTATCATATTATTAAAAATATTATTATGAAATTTGAGTTTTAATAGATAGGACTGGGAACATTTTGCGCAATTAATAAAATGCGACGGCGACACAAAAAAAAAAAAAATACATATATATATATATTAAAATAAATCATTTTTTTTTTTTGGCATTTAAACAGTTCCTGCCGAAGGAAATAAATCAGTTGTGTTTGAAAATTTAAAGTCAAAATTATCTGCTCCAGGGCCCGATTATGCTGAAGTATACCAATTCATAATTCCAGAATTTAAGGTAGTGTTAAAATACTAATCATATTACAGTCATTTTTTTTAGTATAATGAATAGTTTATTTTATTAACTTAAAATTCGATAGATTGGAACACTTGATGCACTCGTTGTTATTTCAGACGAACTTATAAAATATGATCAATCCTTTGAATCGACAGCTTTCAAGATTGTTGATATTTTACGCACCCTTTTACAAGGCGATTTAGACCAAGTTGCAGCTAATTTGATCGTTAACGATAGTAAGTTACTTATTACTCAATATTTTATTTTTCTTAAATAATCTGTTAAAGCGATGAATTCTTAAAGTGACACTTATTTATAGGTATTTGACATATTCACCTATTTTTATTAACAGAATCGGTCGAACAATTTTTGAAGACCTTTCAATGGGACACAATGAAATTTCGAGCTGAAAAATCTCTTCAAGAAATAGCCCAAATCCTCAACAAGGTTTGAACTTTTTTTTCAGAGTATTTTAAAAATAAAAAAATATTATCAGTCTCAATAATTTATCATGATAACAGGAAGTGGCATCAATTGACAACATTATGAAGAATAAATCGGGACATTATAATCAGATTAAAGGCAATCTCCAAGCTTTAGAACGAAAGCAAACGTAAAATAATTATATTCTTTATGTTCTCATTTCCTTTTTATTATTTTCCCTCATTAATTTATATTTATTTATTAATAGTGGAAATTTAGCGGTACGTAATGTGGCAGAATTTGCTAAAAAAGAATATTTCATTCTGGATTCAGAATATTTAGAAACCTTGGTTGTAGCAGTTCCCAAGTATGATTTGACTTTTATAAATTCTAATATTATTGTTTTTTTTTTTAATTTTGCTAATTGTAAGCTATATCAAATTTAAGGAATCGTTACAAAGATTGGAATTCCAAATATGAAACTCTCGCGTCAATGATTGTGCCTCGTTCTTCTCAGTAAGTGAAATAAACATTTAATTGTGTTTTTTTCTAATTTGGAAATATCTCTAACGGTGATCTGGAAATATTATATAGAAAAATTGCGGAAGACAATGATTATGGTTTATTCACCGTAACTCTATTTAAGAGAGTAAGCGATGAGTTTGCGAATAAATGCCGAGAAGAAAAGTAATTATATATTTAAATTTTAAATCATTTAATTGAAAAAATTTATTTAAGATATATATTGACTTTTTTTTTTTTTTATTGATCTTACAAAGATTCGTCGTAAGAGATTTCAAATATGATGAAAATGATATGGAAAATCAACGTAAAGAATTTGAGGAAGTTGGAGCTGTAGAAAAAGAGTTAGCTGTAAATTTCGATTAATAATATACTACGGGTTTTCTAAGATGCTCTTTATAATTTATTAATTTAAAATCATTTTATATAATTAGGTTGAATTATTAAGACTGGCCACTGCAAATTTTGGTGAAGTATTTTCATCATGGATCCATCTCAAAGCATTGAGAGTTTATGTTGAATCTGTTTTACGTTATGGCTTACCGCCGGATTTCATGTCTGCTGTTATAAGAGTAAGTTATTTTATTAATTCGAATTATGCATCTTTCACCTACACTTACACAAACTAATTTGTAATTTATTTATATTTAGCCAAAATTTAAGATGGATAAAAAAATAAGGGAGATATTAAATAACCTATATGGAAAACTTGATGGTTTAGCATATGGCCGTGATGAGAATGAAAATATTGAAGAATATCAAAACTTTATTGATAAGGATTATTATCCTTATGTATATTTCCATCTTGAATTTGATATTTATAAACGATAGATGATTAATTTAAGAAAATAATTTGGAAGTTTTACTTTTTAGGCTTTTTTTTTTATGTTACATTTTTATTTATTATTATTTATCTATTTACACTATATATTGATTCCGACTTAATAATATTTATATACAACTTGAATAAATTAATCAATGATGCTTTTATGAATGAGATTTCTATTAATTAAATATTATTTATTTTAATAAATAGTATTATTTTTATTTTTAATAAAATGTATTTTTTTTTATTTCATTCTCTTCTCATGTAATATTCAATAGCAGTTGAAAAAGCTGCAAAACCGGCACATCCAATTAAAGTGGCCTGCGGACCAGATCTAGCTGCTAATACAGCACCAGTTATACAACCAGAAGCAACACCATTATATAAATCATTTTTCGCTCGATACTATAATAACACAAAATAAGATATATACTGTTATATTATTAATAATAATTGAGGAATATATTATTATTATTATTATTATTACTATTTTGTACTTACTGTTTCGATAGCACATTCAGTTCCAGAAAATATTGCACCTACTATAGCAAAATTTTTTGCCATAGAAAAAGAACGATGAGCCATATCCTTTGCTGTTGCTTTTAATTGCTGTTTCATTGGTTGTTCATAAATTGCTGGATCTACCGATGCCATCTCAAATGATGACATAAACATTCCAAATAATCCTCCAAACGCAAATCCTATTTTTATGTATTACCAATAAATAAAAATATAAAATAATTATATTATAATAGAGGATCAGGAGATTTTTAAAAAGGTTTTTTTTTCTCCAAAAATAAAATTATACCTCCTACGCTACTAAAACCGATTTTTAATAAACATGATTCTTGTATCATTTGCATATATTTTAATTCATTTGGTATAGTTTCGTTATTATTAGGAAATCCTGCCATCATTTATTATTAATTTTTTACGTGAAAAATTTGTCACGAAAAAAAAAAGAGATTTTTTTTTTTTTTTTTTTATTTGTGATCCGATCCTATTTATGATAGATGGGAAGTGTAACATTAACAACATAATAGTGATAATATACATTGTGCGTCATGTGATCACGTGAGGTAATATGCATAAATTCGATCCAAAAAATTGATAAACATATTATATAATCTGCAACTAATATAGCTTTTTTTTTTTATTTTTTTTTTTTTAAGAAAAAAAAAAAGGAATGAATCAACAATTTCGCGTTTCGAAGTAAAGGTTAAAAATGGTAAAAATAAAATATAAAAGTACATGAACATTATTAAAATATAATACATATAGTAAATAGATACATATATATATATAATCACGTAATATATTACATAAAAGAACAATATTTTGATAACAAAGAATTATGTCAAAAAATAAAATAACACTTTTCTAAGTGATCGGTAAGATTGGCGCATCGTACGGCGTAATACTTTTGCTCAACTTTAATTTTTTTTTCTAACGTTTAAAAAAAATAATAATAATAATTTAAAATAATTTAATACACAATATTAAAATTTTTCACACCTTAATACCTAAAATGTATTATAGTCATGTACATATATATCAATTTGTTATTGTTACATTATGTCTTTATTGTGATATGGAAAACTTCAAAACTTTTCTATAACAAATCAGGAAAATTTTCCGATTACATAAGATATTACTAAATCATAAAAAAAAACAAAAGTAAATCATAACTTATAATGTTATTATTCCGAAAATGATGTACATTGGTTGAATGAATTTTTTATAAATTATCCACCGCATGTCAAAATTGATAAATTGAAAAAAAATATAAATAAAAATAAATAAAGAGGAATATTTAAATACGTACGAATTTTTATAAATTTTTTTTTGTTTTTTTTTAAAAAAACGTTCGAAAAAAAAAAAAATAAAATAAAATAATCCTCTCCCTATTCTCATACTTAAACGATGGCAACAAAATTACCAGATGAATGTCTTTTAGAAATATTTAAATATATTGATGAAAAATCATTATATTCATTATTATTGGTTAATAGAACATGGTGTCGAATAAGTATATCATTATTATGGAAAAAACCATTTAAAGAAAATCAAACGAACGAACATTTTAAAGTGATATTACCATTAATATCATATCTTGATAAAGAAATCAGAAATTCATTAAAAATTGAAGAAAATAATAAAACAAAAACAAATAATATTCAAGAAAAACCAACATTTAATTATGTATCATTCATAAAAGAATTGGATTATACAAATATGTGTTATCAAGCAATAACATGTTTAAAAAAATTAAGAAACAATCCAAAAGATTATTCAATTATGAATGATAATTATTTATATTATGGAATGATGCAAATATTTGAACAAAATTCTTATCATGTTATTAAACATGAAATTGAAAATATTTTGAACGTAAAAAGTACAATAAAACAAGAAGATTCAAATAAATTTATTGAATCAATACTTTTAATTATTTTAAATAATTCAAGAATTGAAACATTAATATTAGATATATTTTATTGGCGTTCAAAAGATATTTTTAATATACTTTTAAAAATACCTGAACAAATAGGGAATAATGGATTTACTGGTTTCTTTTTAAAAAAGTTTCATTGTAAATTATTAGTAAAAGATATTGATATATTATATAATATATTAAAATTATCAAATAATCAAATAAGGGATTTATCATTAAGTTTTTATGATGTATATAATAATGATAATGATAATGATAATAATAATAATAATAATAATAATACGGAATTTAATTCTTATTTAGATTTAATTAATTTAATTAAATCTCAATATTATCTTGAAAAATTACATATTAATTATAATTCTTTATTTATAAAATTAATTTTATTAGAATTACAAAATAATTTTTATTCTATAATGAAATTAAATTTAATCTCTCATAATAATGTTGAAGATTCTGGTTTTTACTTTTTAGATGATGAATGGAGTAATTCTTTAGAATTAACTTTTAATGATTTAAATTTTGTTGATAATTTAAAAGATTTTCCTCTTTTAAACTTAAAATTTTTAAAATTAGATTGGGATACTCTTAATTTTAATCATTTACAATCTCAAGAAAATGAGTTACATCAATCTATAATTAATTTAATTCAATATCATAATATTGATTTGAAACATATTAATTTAAATCCATTATTAAAATTTCATTTTAGAAATATTTTCAAGATAATATAAAAATAAAAAAAAAATTATGATTAAATATAACCAATTAAATTATGTATATATTAATTTATTTAAAGCGAATAAATTTTATTTTTATTTAAAGCAAATAAATTTTATTTATAACGAATATTTATTTAAAGTAATTTATTTATACTATTTTCGATTTTCGCTTATCACAATGACATCGCGATTAAGTAAAGGACTGGATTATCTGGTGACTGGACGCGCTCAATTTTGCAATCTTGCACATCAAAACTACATAATACTTTACACTGCATATTTGTTATATATTTGTTCTTTAAATTCATAAGCATTAGATAAAACGATTTCATAATGATATTTCTGGTCTAGATTCTATAATACTCCGGAATTTTCACTTGAAATTGATGGAATGATGGATTTAATCGACATTCTTCAATTTAAAGTACTATATATATTAGGATCCGTACATTGAATATACTATTATTTAAAATATGTATTTATTGTATGCCTTTTATTGTAAGAAAGTTTGTTTCAAAATTTGTAAAATATTAGATATATTAGATCTATAATTAACTCTATTTTTTCTTTTGAAGACAAGAAAATGACTCATCAATCTTTGTAATAATTTGAAACATAGTAAACATAGTTAAACTGTAATTTAATTATATTAATTAAAACGCGATACCGATCATACTTCTGATACTTTTGATTTTTTTTAAAAAAAGGTTAGTTTTAAGATTTGTAATATAAGTTTTGGATTCGTGTTCTAATTTTGTATTCGAAAAAAAGTATCAATCTTAATATAATTGCGGTATGTTCATTGATAAATAATTTTATTATTGATATATATCAAGAAATATCCCTATGAGGCTGTGATATTAATTAAACGTTATATTCGGTTTCCGGTTAAAATGTCCCGATATTTTTCAAGTATTATATATAATTATATAATCTTGAAATATACTTAAAATGAATAAAAGGTAAATTTGTGTCATTTCAGGGTTTATATTAGTTAATTCATTTTAAAAGAATGACATAATAATTATGTAAGAGTTTGTTTAGCAACTTGCAGAAATTACTATGCAGGTCAAAGATACCACGGATTTTTATTCCGTTATCTTATTCAATTACTGTAAAATAGATGAAAATGATTCGAATTTTTTTTAATCTTGTAATATTTATTTAAAACTAATAATAATAATTCAATTTATCAATTCTCAATTTTTTTTACGAAAATTCGATGTTGAACATCAAAATAATTGTTATTATTATCATATTTTTTTTTGTGATTAATTTTCTTTAATGTTATGATACATGATACAATGATACATGATAAAAATGAGGTCTAGGTCAAAAGACCGACAAAAAAAGACCGACAAACAAAAAGACCGACAATCGAAAGACCGACAAACAAAAAGACCGACAAACGAAAGACCGAACCTAAATGTCACATCTCGTAATGGATACATAACAGTACCCGGCGTGACATATAACATATATTTATCACGTGACATTTTGGGTGATTCCTTACGTAAGGTGGGGTGTAAATTAGGGTGTGCGCTAATATACTGTATAATCAGATGCACTAAATATTTTTCTTTTGGTTCTCTTTTCACTTTGCTGTAAATTTCGTCTTGAAGGTATGTTATTTCTTCTTTATTATAATTTATTTACTGTAATAGTATATTTTATTTTATGATTAACTGAAATATTTTTTTTTTTTTTTCTGAAAAACACGGTGAAGTATCTTTTAATAGAAATTTTATTAGTTTAGCTTATAGAAGCTTTGATTGAAGCTTACAGAGATTTATTAGTATATGTTTTAATAGCAGATAGTAAAAGATATAAATATATATTTTGCATACCATTTATTAGACTGTTAGACTGTATAGCTCAAATTTTTTATTTTTGTAATAAAAAAAACATATAAAAAAAATTGTTAAAATTATTCTATATAAACGCTTCTTCTTTGCTCTTTTTATTATGTAAAACACCGAATAATTTTTTAAATAATATTTTTTGTTGAAAAACATTGCGTAATTTTTTCCCAAGATAAATAAAATAAATGTACATAAAATAAAACTAATCTTACTAAGCTTTAATACCAATAACACGGCCAATAACATTCGCTATATTTTAATCGTACACTCCACCCCCCCGTTTTACGATAAAGAAACGCGTAACACGTATGGCTAATCGCATTTTTCGTTATAACGACGCGACGACGCGTAAATTATGTATATGGAATGTAAGCATGTGATCATGAGATCATGATGAATAATCATGTTGATCGCGATCTCGTTTTTCGTTACAAATAAATAAATAAATCTCGTTTTTCGCACATACTTTGTGGTACCTGATGGTATATATAAGAACAGTATATTTGCCTCAACCTCAATCTTTTTTTTCAAATTCAATACTTTTTTTCCTCATAAAGAAAATCATATTACCCGTCCGTATTTCGTTTCGTTTCTATTTCTCCGTCGTATTTCATTTTTATTTTATTATTATTATGGAAACTTGCTTGTTTTATATTATCTTCACAACGACATTCGACAAACGGACGCCGCAGTTACAATCAACAGATCATTTTTTTTTTTTTGAGATTTGTAAGAAAAAAAAAAAAAAGTTGTATAAATGACACCAATAGCAAGAAAACGACGACATTCATAAAACCGACAGACCGGATGACGCGGTTACATCAACAGACCTTTGTATTAGAAAGTATTCAAAAAAGAAAATTGACGCTTATCTGCTTCTCTGCTTCTCTTAAGAAAGAGATAGAAACTTTCGTAAGTATTTTTTTTGTTGAGGTTTTACTATGATGACCAGTATGTTATCATTTTATTTAATGACATGATGATTCTTTTCTTTTTTTAACAATCAAGAATGCGAGAAATGTAAAGTCTCGATCTTCTCTCCCTTCTTCGCTCGTTTCCTCCCTTCCTTCCTTCTTCCCTCCTTCTTCGCTCTTTTCCTCCCTTCCCTTCCTCTCCTCCTTCTTTTTCCTCGATCTCTGATGGCTTTTCAAGCAATCCTTTAACAGTACCTCGAATCAAAACTTACTCATGAGACAAATCTTTCTATACTTGACTTGGAATTATCCCGATGGCTTTCAGCTTTATGGGTTACAAGTATGGATTTGATCGTTAAGAAGAAATCGCCTATCGTTGCTCCGGTTAATAAAATGGTGTGTCCTGGTCTCGAAGCATCTCACTTTGGAATTTTTCTCGACTCTTCAATTTAAGAATACATCTTCGACCCCTTTAAGAACGCCTAAGTTGTTACTTTTATTACCGGATTATGCAAAACGTTAGTAATATCACAGTATTTCTATATTTAGATGCGCGGTTTTTGAGGATCACACAGACTACCAAGAAATCCACAAATGATAAAGTTGTTTCTACGAGGAAGTGGCTAATTCCAAGGCAAGTGTAGATATAAAGTGTATATTTGCCTGAATTTTCGCCTTTTCGTGGATAGCTCAAATTCTGAAATTCTTATAGAACATGTTTTAGTTGTAAACTAATAGTATTTCTTTTTTTTTTAAAAAAAACAGTCAAAAAATGCAGAATATTTTTACCATTACCATTATAATTATATATCAAAAAACTGCTTCTGACAAATACAAGAAGTCTTTAATTATAATTATTTCCGATGGGTTTTCAGCTTTGTGGTCTAATTCCAAGTCAAGTTTGGAAAGTTTTGTTTCATGAGTAGAGATCTTGAATTGTGGTGCTGTTAAAAAATTGCTTAAGGCATATCAAATATTGGCTTCAGAAGATTGGGGTAATCGTTGGATAAAGATGAGTCTTCCGGAAATTCATTACTGCTCATGGGGAGGAGTCGTTGGGTAGATGGCTGGGTTTCCATGATAAAATAAAAATGAAATACAACGGAAAAAATAGAAACGAAATACGTACGGATAAAATAATTTCTTTCTGGGGATTTACATCGTTACAGACTAATAATGCGATCTAATGTTAAAGTAATGTAACGATAATTTTATTTTGTGTCATTCATTATATAATCATATAGAAATAAAAATTATATAAAGCTCAATATCGTGACAAAGTTTTTGCTAATATAATATACAAACTAACATAAAATAAATACATATTCTTATATTTTTTAAAAAGGTTTGAATTTATTAATAACTAATTACTGTCAATGAAATTTCGTAATATAATTATATTGCGAATGTGTAAAGAAAATAATATGAAGAAAAATATTTGTGAATTTTAAAAAATCTGCAAATTCAAAAAGCCGGAAAATTAATTAGTTAAATATGCGGATTGATTTGGTGAACTTGACTTTTCAAATTATTGTATCTTAGTTCTTAGACTTTTTGTTCAACTCAATATCTGACTCGAACATGCATTGTGAAGTAATATAACCTGGTTACGGTACATTTCGCCGAAATCGAAACTCATCTCGTAGAAGTCATTTCGCAGAAGGAATGTCTCACCGAAGGGATGTTTCGCCGAAGGACGTTTCACCGAAAGTGAATTTTATCGAATCCATTTCACCGAATCGTCCATTTCGCCGAATGACATTTCGTAGCGATTAACATTTTTATAAAAAACATCGCGCAATGAAAATAAAAAATAAATTATTTTTAGAGATTTTTTTTTTTCCAGGATATTATTATCACTTTAATATTCAAGTAACTAATATTATCATTAATTGTTAAGCAATAAATAAATAACTTTATTTTCCTGAAAACATTTATTCACGAAAAAGTAAGTAAAAAAAAAAAAAGATTTTAAAATGTATTATAAACAATGAGATAAATTTAATAAAAATCATCTAATTCAAAAATTTTTCTAAAAAAGGTTTCTTTATGTATTATTTAGTATAGGAACAGTAGAGTAGGTAGGCAAGTGAGTAAATAATTTTTCGGAGGAATGGTTCATTCGGCAAAATATATCCATTCGGTGAAACATCCCTTCGGCGAAATGGCTTCAGCGAAATGAATATTGACGTAAAGTCCCGATACCATATAAAGGTTATGGTAAAAAAATAGGGTTTGTTCGTTAAAAAAAAAAACAATTTATTCCATTTTAATCGAAGCATGCATGAATTTTACTTTGGTCAATAAAATTTGATAAATGGTACACTTATCATAAGGAAGAACTCATATTTGAGAACGAATGAACAAATTAAAATAAGCTGAAAAATTTCTTGTGATGGGAAATCTCTAAAGTCTTATAAAGTCTTATTAAATGTATTTATTATTAATGTAATGAAGTAATGGTCATTAACATATGAAATGAGAGTTCCTCCATTACTACCTAGTGCTAATTCTGCTTCTACAATTTCCGAAATAAAATTTAAACCCCAATTATCACGTACTCTACAATTGTTTATGACATACCAACCTACATAGAAATACGCGAAACTTTTTCAAGATGAAATAATGTCGGATCTATTGTATTATGTAAAATTCCAAAATAAAATTAATACATAAACGGATAAAAAGAAATAAGAAATTATGGTGATAAGCGATTTCACGACTTCACCTTACATTAAAGAGACCGCGATACTGCGCCAAGCTACAAGAATTCGCCATTTTTTTTTAATTATGTAAAGTTTACAATATGACGTGTAAAGTTTGTGTAAAGTTTGTAATATATGTAAAGTTTAAAAAGTTATGTCATATATGTCATATATTAGACTTTGTATGAGGCGCACGAAAATACAATATCATAATACGAGCCGAAATTTATAATCTAACGAAAAATTTTCTGTTTGTTTCGTTATTTCACGTGGTTTAATTAATTAAATTTGTTTGCTCACATTTTGAGATGTAAAAAAAAACGTATTTTTTGTTTAGCCCATACTAATATTTTACTAACGAAAAAAAAAAATAATAATTATAATTAAAAAGAATTAGAATTTAGAAAAGTAATATTATTAAATAATATTAATATTATTCTTGAACTTTCTTGAAAAAAAAAAAAAAAAACTTTATAATCATTGATAATTCAAGAGAACATTTCTTTTAATTTCTTTAAAAATAATAATAATAATCTTTACTTGATCTCCGATTTTGCTTGTATTTTTTTTTCCATAATCACTTTTATCCTTATCCTTACTAGACATAGGAACTCCTGTTATAATCCCTTATTATAATATACTTTTCTAATAATTTCACCATTTTTATCTTTTAAATCCCAAAATTGTTGTTCTAATTTCATTGGATCTATCACGGCTTTTTGTGGAAAAGCGGCAATAGCCAATGGTAAAGCAGACATCAATGTTATTGTTATAATCCCTAAAAAAAAAATATATAAAATATATATATACATGAGTTAGTTTTAAAATAATAAATAAATAAATATATATATTATCAATTTTTTTACCAAAATTAAATGGAATTGAAAGTCTCGGATTCTTTTTTAATAAATTTGTTTTTTCAAGTTGAGAAAGTACAAATGGTGGAATCGTTAATACAGGAGCAAGAGTTAAAACACGTGAAATTGCGACTTGACCAACAGCTGATGCACCAGCTTTCTTCGATTTTCCCAAACTAATTCCTTCATCATTATAAACATCAATTCCATTTCTAATTTCTTTCATTCTCATTAAATAAACATTAACAGTACCAGCACTAGCAACAGCTACAAATGGAATTAATCTTGTTAATACACCACGTACAGATGGTTTTAAGAATTTAAGACGTGGTACAGCCTGTGTAAGACCAACCGCTAATCCACATGAAGTTGTCACGGCTGAAATATATGCAACTAATTGAAATGTTGTAAAATGTCGAAAATTTTATAAATGTTAAAAAATGTTTTTTTTTAATTGAATGTTTTAAAATATAAATAATAAAAATAATATACAATCCCCAATCACTTACTTGCAGTCTCTTTTAAACTCATTTCAATTGTCTTATTAGCATTTGAATAATTTATAGCTACATTGATACTTTGATTTGTCCATTGCCAAAATATAATACTACCTATCTAAAATTCTAAAAATGTCAGTTTATTTTAACAAAAAATAATAATAATAAATTTTAAAAAAATAAAGAAAGATTATAAAAAAAAAATTATTTAAATTATCTTACACTAGGATTAGGCATTAGCATACCAGCTACAACAACAAGATTGGTTGGTACGAATGATGACATTCTGAAAGGAAGAAATACTGGTTCTCCTGTATCCGGATGAATTGTTGAATCGACAACTTTTGAAAAATATTAAAAATATTATAGATTGTTAAAATATCTTTTATATATATTTATAATATATATAATATATATATATATATTTATTAAATATTATTATAAAATATATATATATTTTTTATAAAATATATTATAAAATATGTTAATTTTAAATAAATAATTATTCACTTTTTTTTGCATGCCATAATTTTTCTGGATCCACATTTTGAATTTTATCAGAATTATAATCATTAATTAATTTTTTTGCTTCTTCAAGACCTTTACTTGATACAAACAATGTTCTTTAAAAAAAAAATAATAACAATAAGAATGAAATATTAAACTTTTTTTCAATTTTCAAAAAAAAAAAAAAAAAAAAAAAAAAAAAAAAAAATTGATCAATTTAACGAATGTTAATTATTATTATTTTACCTTGGATCAGTAATATCAATAAAATGTTTTACACGACCCCAATACGTAAATTGATCATATCGAGGTTTTGCTACAAAAAAAAAAAATATATATATATTTTCATTTTCGATTTTCGATGAATTCAATAATGATCATTATAAATTTTGTTCCTAAAAAAGTTTTGAAAAGGTGAAATAATCTTACATAGATCAATTTTTGAGTTTTTCTCCGTACCATTTGACATTATTTTGGATGATCGAAAAAGAAAATTTTTATTTTAAAAAAGAAGTTAGGGGTTTATATAAAAAATTTAAGGTTACACGTGTAATGCAGATTTGTTTCAAACGTTATTAAGTCACGTACAAATATAATGCTGGTAAAATTAAAAGTTTGTTATCTTGCAATAATGCTGGTAAAATTCAATAATTATTGCAATGATGTATATCGATTTAACGCATCGCATGCTAATTACTGATTGCATGGTCAATATCAATTAAATGTTAACGCCAAGAGCTCTTACGTGCAAATTACAATTTAAAATTTCCAATAATAATGCTTCGCATTTAAACATAATACCGGTAAAATTTAATTATTGCAATGGTGTATGTATCAATTAAACGTTAACGCGTGCAAATTACGAAACACATACTTGTACGGGGCGTCCTTGCAATTTAAAACTTCCAATAATAAAAATAATAAAATAATGCTTCGCAAAAAAATTTATATTTTTATATTAAGGAACATAATTTTTTTTTTATTTTGTCAATAAGTTCATAATTATATAATATAAAAAAATAAAAGAATCATAAAATGTTTTTTTTTAAAAAAAAAAATGTTTTTAAAAGAAACACTTCCCACCACCCTTTTTCTTTATAAACCCAACAAATTAAATTATTCTTTCTTTTTTTTTTGTATTTATATCAAAAGAAAAAATTGCGGTCTTTCGGTCTTGTATCACATATAATAAGACCGTCAGTCAAAAAAAAAAAAAAAATGAAATACAAAAAAATTTTTTTTTTTCTTTTTTTTTACAAATTTTGATAAAATAATGTTTTTTTTTCGTTTTGTTACGCATAAATTTTTTTAAAACATAACAATAAAGATATTTTTTTCATAAGTAATAAATTTTTTTTTCGTGAAAACTTTTTTTAAGTTTTCGATAAGAGATAAGCTATAATATATGTTGTTGTATAAAAATATATATATATATATAAATATTTACAAAAAATAGGATATTTTATATTTTTTTTAGAGAAGAAATTTTTTTAAAAATGCAAATTGAAAAAAAAAATAAAATTTTTAAAAGAAAAATGGAATTTTGTAGAGAGATCGACAATTTCGCGATTCTCTCTTTTTTTTTTAACAAAATTGTTAATAATATAACTTTTACCTCAAAAATGGTAATATTGATTTATATATCTTGAATGTTGTTGTTACATTCTTTAGCTAGAGACACCATGTAATCCAAAGCTTTACACAAATCATTATAATCAAAATGCGTTTCTATCGTGTATTTTTTCAAATCTATTCATAAATAAAATGTTAATACTTTATCATAGTCATGGCGTATAAAATCCAAAATTGTGAAATGGTGTATACAATTTACCTTTAAGTAACAGAGAATATCTGGCAACACGTTGTATAGGCATTATCAAATAATCACTAAGGCCAAGTCTAATATTTTCCTTTTTTCGTTGCGCCTATATTAAAAGAATTTGATTAATTTTTACCGAATACATACAATACAATACAAACAATACAAATAATACAAACACAAAAATAAGATTAATAAAATAATTACCGAAACGAATCTACGATAAAATACACTTTGGTTAACTTTTTTGGTAAGTAATTGACGACTTCTTTGAATGTTTTCAGCATATTTTTTGTAAACTTCAAATCCTTCCGCAAAATCAAGAAACACTTGGCCCAATTTAGAATCATAAACTTCATAAGGATCCATTGAAGTTTCAATAGTTTCCACAAACTTATCAGAAAGTTTTATCAAATCATCCAAATGAGCAAAAATGATTCTTATATCATCTTTATTTACAAGTGGAGGTGAGGTTGATGCGTTAATACAAGGATCCATAAAGGTCTAAAAAATTGAGGAAAAAAAAAAAAAGTTAACATCAAAGATTTTTTACAATTACTACACCTTTACATTTTTTACATTTACATACCTTTTTGAGAGTCTTCATGTGACTTAAATAACTTTGTTCGGTAGAATAAATCTCACTGATAATAAACTTTCTCATCTGACGTGATCTTGTAACACCATCAGGTTCTTTTTCCATATCAGCTTGTAAAGCAAATAGATCAACAGGAAATTTTTTTGGTGATGGTTGTTCAACATCAGATGTCGTGGATGACGTGAATATCGTGGGCGTCGTAGGCGTCGTAGGCGTCGTAGGCGGTGTCGTGGGTGTCGTAGGCGTCGTAGGCGTCGTAGGTGTCGTGGATGTCGTAGATGTCGTGGATGTCGTGGATGTCGTGGATGTCGTGGATGTACCTTCTTCATTAACAAGATTCGTTTTTTTAAACTTATGAACATGATTTAAAACCTTAAATTCAGATTCTGTAGCCACTTGTCGATTTGCTCTTTGTGAATTAGTATAAGCGTAAGAATTCCTTCGTTGAACATCACTACTATGCCTATTTCTTCTACTAAATAAACCTTTAAGATGTCGTACTTCAATATGAGACCATGAACGTCTTATATCAAATTCAGTTTGATCATCCATAGAATTTCGAGCTTTTATTTTTGAAGGATGATCATGTGATTCGCGTGATTCCGGGATGATCATATCAGCTACAGTAGTAGTAGTAGTAGGTGACGAACAAGTGATAGAAGAATCTTTTGAGGAAGAATCATTAACAAGTGAAGTTAAAGAAATAGTAGAAGGTAAAATAGGGCAATGATGAATACTATTTGATTTTACGCGTTTTCTTATATTATCATTACAAACACATGGAGAAGATTTCAAAGTGATAGATTTTTTTGTTGATATTGTTATAGTTGAAGAAGAAAATTTTTTATAAGTTGAATGATTTAAATGTTGAGAGGAATTATTGGAATTAACCAAAACATCATCAGAATCACGACTCATTGTGAAAGGACGAAAAGGATAATTATCTTTTAATGTAGAAGGAGGAGTAGCAGTAGCAAAAAATGACAAGCGATTATCACAAGAATTATTAATCACTTCTTCTTCTCCTTGTTCCAGTTCTTCCACTTCTCTATCAGATTTTTTTGAAAGACTAAATGTACGTTTTAAACGTTGAATCTTTGATGGGGATTGTTGTTTACGAAGACAAGGTTGTGAACGATTCTTATCATCAGAAATTATTACGCGATCAATTTCTACAAAATATGAAAATAATTGGGGGGAATTTGATTAAAAAAAATCCAATATTTTTTTTTTTTGGGTATTATATAATTTTTTTGAAAATAAATAAATCAAAACTTTTAAAAAAAAAGCAAAAAAGCAAAAAAAAAAAATAAGGAAAAATAAATTGAATTAACAAATAAGTAGTAATTGTAATTGGAATAAAAATATTTGTTTGTTTGCTCATAAAAAATATTTAAACAACTAATACAGGTTGAAAAAACTGGATTTTTTTTTATATATATAAAAAAAAACACGGAACGATTAAAAGGGAAAAGGGGGGGAAGGGGAGTTTTTTGGGGGGAGGGTTAAATAGTTAAAGGGAAATATTATATATAGATATAAATTACGTAATAATATACTGTATATAATACATATATAATATATATATGGGGGGGTTATCAAACCAATACTGAAACATCATATTTGTTGATTATTATGAAGAATAATAAGTGGTTATAATATATAAATAAACATAAAAGAGGAAAAGAAAAGGAAAAGAAAAAAGGAAAAAGAAGAAATAAAAAAATAAAAAGAAATAGAAAAAGAAAAAAATAAAATAAAATAAAAAATATATATATTTTATATAAAAACGAAAGTAATAAATAGTTCGTAATTCATTATATTACTAATACAATGAATGAATAGAATAATAATACATACCATTACTTTTAGTCCCATGAAGATTTGCTGAAATTTTATTACTATTTAACGAATTATTGATAATGTTGTTATCGTAAATATTTTGGTTCAAATGAGAGGTTAAAGAATTTTTAACCGTATTTATCGTATTTAAAGATGTCGTCGTTATATGTTGCATACTTAAATAATTAATTATATTGTTAACGTTAGACTCTGGCGAACTAGAAAGAAATGATGAAGAAAATGATGATGATATTGATGATGATAATGATGATGAAGTAGTGTAAATTGAATTTTCATGAATTGAAATTAAATTAGCATTATTTTTAAAATTTAAATTTTCATTGGCGTTTTTTTCTGTCACAATTTTATTTATATTATGATTAGTAAAATTATTATATTGATATGACGATTTATCATCGTCATATGTTCTTTCGTTAAATGTCTCGAAATTGGTGATATATTCAATGTTTCCCATTGAGGAGAAATTTTGCCCATTACTAGAATAAAAAAAATAAAAAAAAAAAATTAAAAAATTAAAAATGGATATATATATATACATTTTATAATATAAAGTATTATATAAAAAAAAAAAATTTTTTTTCTTTTCGTTTTTGGTTTAGTAAATAAAATAAGTAATTTATTGTGTAATAATAAAGGATTTGCTGGTGATTAAATTAATAAAATAGTTAGGTTAAAAATAAAATAAAATATATACGTACTTTATTAAATTTTTTGTCATATCTATGTCATTATTATTCGTAGTAATAGTAATATTATTATTATCAGTTATATTATTTTCAAACAAGTTTGATGATGTTTTCGAATCTTGAAATTTCTTTGTTGTAACCAAATTTCCTGAAGGTGAAACTGATGTTATTAATACAACAGGCATATTCTATAATTTTTTCTATATATAATAATATATGATGTGTATATATATAATTTTTTTTTTTAGTTTTCCTGTTTTCCTTTTTTTAGTTTTTCTTTTCTTTTTTTTTTTTTTTTTTTTTTTTTTTTTT